GAAAAAGGCTGCCTCTGTTGTGTGGCTGAACATGGACAGCCTCGAGGCACAAGCAGAGGGAGGATGACAACCAAATTGAACTCCAGCTTAAACAACACCTCCCACCCTTCTGTGAACTGATGCAGTGACCCCCTCCTTTCAGCCTCCACCCCCTCCATGCAAGGTGCCTCACAGAGCACCAAAGAGTTTACCATGTTTCCTCCTCTTCTTCCTTCCAGTCTTAACTTGCTCGTTGTTGAAAAAGGATGACACAATTTCACAATTAGGACGCTTAATCACGTTTGTTATAGAAGTATTCATGACATGTGTTGACAAAAAATATATTGACATGCGATGTAACCGGATGATTCGTATCATGTTTTTGTACAGATTAAACAAATATAATATATAAAGGTGTGAATTTGTGAGTTCTTGTGTTACCTTTGTAGTGAGACAGGCTAGCACTATTACCCTTTTTTACAGACTAAGCTAAGCTAATGGCTGCTGGCTGTATCTTTATATTTGCCCAACAGACAGAAACATTGTATTGAGGTCCCTATCTAACTCACAGTAAAAAAAAATGCATTTCGTTTTTTTTTAGCATAAATCTATAAATCCTGACTGAATAAAGATGGATGTTTTGTTGAGAATAGCATGCAGCAGGAGCAGGGACATGTGATCTTATCTGTACATGTGCAAGGTAATTATGTGGCTTTTACTTTTGTACTGAGTCTTGAAGATAAGGACCAATGACACTGTAACAAGTGTAGCCAGGTCACACTTTTCCTACATCAACAGGTAGTTTGGACTTGTTTACTCAGCTCAGCTACGCCTGACTGACTCATTGACCTTATGTGATTACTGCATTCATACACGCTGTACCTGTTATTTTCCTTCTTCATCCAAAGCAAAGAAACAAGGAACAGTTTTTCATGCAGCCTTTAGAAACACCAGCATATGTGAGCCACATTGTTACAAATAATAGGTGTTGCTGCTACTCTTTAACACCTGTAAGACATCTTCAGTCTGACTAATCCTGTTTTTCTATACAGGTGAAATTGCAGCCTATTTTGACATTATTAGTCATAGGCCCCAACTGTTGATGTGTCACTGGGGGATGAGTAAAATGTGGATCAACAACAAAGAAGAGAGACAGCATACTATTCATAAGTAACCGCAACGTTTATTCTGTATCAGGTCTTACCACTCAGATAACTTACATTTATTTGAATCAGGTACGTGTCTCTGATTAACATGAAACCACAAGTTAGATCTGTATTGTTTTCTCATAATTGAACAACAGATAAGACACATGACATTTGCAGTATCAGTTATGTAACAGTTACATACCCTAAATTGGTTTATTACTTCTTCTGTTTGATAACCGTTTGTTCATTTTCGATTCAGGGAAGTTCAGAGTGACCTTGCGATGTCAGCACTAGATTAAATCATTCCCAAAAGGAAACTCTTAGTCAATAAATGATCTGGGTTTATGAATAAAGTGGATAGTTCAATTGTCATTGCCATGCTAATGGTTAACATTTAATTTGTAATCCAAAACCATCAACAGGTCAACATACATTTTTCCATTTGTTTGGGCCTAAACTTTGGCCACTTCAGATTATGAACATGATAACTTTAATCTTTAGGATGTAAGCATTTTATATTTGACAATGTTAACATTTAGCTTAAAGCACAATTTTACACAAATAAAGCCTCCCAGATCTGCTAACATTTCTGTACCTCGAGTCTTGTTAAAATAATAGGTTACATTTGGTTTTCATAGCAACTTGAACAAATATTTCCACATTTTGGATCACGGGCCTACACTTATTTGCTTTCTCTCCTACAATTAGATGAGAATAACACTCTGATATTCACCCTCACAATAACCAATCTCACTCCTCAGTTCTAAAGCTAAACAATCCAACCAACAAAAGCAACAGATGCTGGCCAACCAGAGGCAGAGTATGGCAGGTAATTCCCTCACCAGTAGCAGGGTGTATTTTTTAAGCAATGGCCACTGGTTTTTGGGGTAACAGACTGTCGGACAAATATGCAAACTTTTGACGTTTCAAAACAAAAGGTAGTATCGAAGCAAAGCTTCACATAGCTGCTAGCATTGCTATTAGTCTTCTTAAAATGTACTCTAAATTAATGTTTTTGTTTCTTGACTTTACAAATTAAAAAAATTGATTTTTGTTTTGAATGTGAAAGGACATTAAGTCCTGGGAGTTTATGTTTCCCTTGTTTAACATAAAAAAATAAATAAAAAATACTCTGCCTAAAGTTAACGACAGCTCTGTGTTTTAGCCAAGTGTGGGGAGAAACTCAGGTCGGCCTAAGGTCAACACCTGAACATCACCACCTGCTGCAGAGAAGAGAGGACTCTACCAACAATTTATATCCACTTGTGGTGTTTCGTGCTTTTATAGATCATTGTTGTTTTCTATCCCTGCCTTAAGAGTCTGACCTTGACACGACACCCCAACCAGATTGTTATAGTGGGTCAGGCTGTCCTGTGCTTAAAGAGGATCTCTCCCATTACAAACAGAAGTTCAGAGACCAATCACACCACTGTTCCTGCCTGAGAATGTTATGTGAGTGCCAGACAGGGTTTTGTTTGGACAATGTGCACTGGGGGTTGGTGCTGGGATGTGGGAACATACAAAAGGTCTCTTGAATCATCACATTGCTGCTGCAGCAAAAAGGAGAGACATTTCACCATTTGCCTCTCAGTGAGATTTCTCATATTTGTTTTAAATGATCACTTCTACAGCTGCTTATTACCTTTGGAGAGGTTTAGCTTGTATAAGCTGCAGCTGATTTCCTCACTCTTCTCTCTTTTGGCCTTCTTGTGCTTGATGCCCAGTGGGAGTTGATAAAGACTTGCAGTTTCTACACAGCTCTGGGAAATAACCCTGTGAAAGAGGAACCATGCCCTCTTGTCGTGCTCTCGTTCTAAGAGATCGCCAAAGCAGCGCATGAAACACAAGAACACCACGTTTTGTGGTGAAAGAATATGTAAAATAATACAGCCAGATGGCCTTCTGAATGCCACATCGCCTTGCTCACGCTGAACACTGGGAACTTTCTAGTGTGGGCTTTTGTGCACAGTGCTGAAAGTGTGCATTCATTCTCACAGGAGAGCATCAGCTGCGGCAGGAAAGCAGGTCTGATCCTGTATCGGCAGAGTGCGAGTTTATTAGTACACTTAATTAAACTTGTCTATTTTTTTTAATTGGGCTAAGCTTTAAGCTGGATAAATAAGAGATGAAAATCCAATTAGACAATGCTCACTGGAAACATTATGTACTACATTTTGTTAAGCAATTGCATCTTTTTTTCCTGGAACATTAGGGTTAATTTAGGTGCAGGGGGTTAACAAGGACATTCATCCGTGTCCTTTTCTAATAATCAATAGCATCAGCTGGTTTGTATTCTGCCCGGACTTTGTATCTGGCGATATTCTATTTTCCACATCGACTGGCTTCTGTGTTTAGAAAACTCTTAACTTAAAAAATAATAAAAGTTGTATTGATTTATTTTGAACGTCTGATGTTTATACTGACCAGCTGTGAAACTAGCATCATGAACAGAAGGATTGCCGAAAAATAACAAAACCTCCATATCACACAGTTTTGACTCTTTCCTCCCCACAATGGTGTCACTTGTCCCTCGCTGGAGGATAAATTGAAGAAGACATTGCCTGTGGTGGCTGGCTGGCTTTCAATTGGCAGGGACCACCGAGTTGCTCAGAGGATTGTTTGAGGTAAATTGCTACTTTGCTGAAAGGAAGCTGCCATCTTTTAAAAGGAAATGCACAAGCTGTTGATGTTACAATGAGCAGAATATCTCTCTCGAAATAGGTCATAATCACAAAAAATCTATTAATGAATGTTTTTTTCGAGTTGTTAAAATATCTAGCTATTGTAAATCTGTCGTCATATATGCATTTTATGTATTCAAAATAATTGAGCTCTTCAAAACAAAACTGTACAAAGGCTGTGTAGAAGATTTGTTTTGCCTATATGTGGTATTTTAGCAGATTAATTTGGCAGTAAGAAACATTCACACGCTTTGCTGGGGCATCAATTGGTTGGTTGGCCTGAGGCCCCAGAGTGTGTTGATCGCTCCAAGAAGCTGACACAATAATATCAGTATCAGGGACATCTTGTTGATGATGAACTGCAGTCCATTTTGCAGACCCAAACTCAGTTGTTTTGAAAATATATTTTGTAACTTCTTGTAACGTCATGTGTGATTGAATTACATGTTACAGGGTTAATCAGTATGGTTTTATTGTGATTTCCCTCATCAGGTTGGTTAAAGTCAAAAGTGTTGCACATTCAGGGTATAAAGAGGAAATGTTCTAATGTAATATTTCAACACAGTTTATATCTTCTTGCATCAACTAATACTTTAAAAAAGCCAAACTTGCTTTTGCTTGACCTAAAAGAATTATGACTAATTAAGTAGCAGAACATTTATCTGCAGCAATTCTGAATATAGATTCCTAATTGCAATTATTTCTTAAGATTTGAAATCTAAAATAATAATAATTATTGAATAATTGAAAAATAAGTACCTTGAACTTTTGGACAAAATACAGTATACATTAAAAAACAAAATCTTCAAAAATAAAAATAAAGTGTGTCACAATGAATTGCCTGACTTGCATAATAATGACAAATGAATAATTAGTTGCATCCATAACCAACATGCATTATATTTTGGGGGTCAAATAAGACAAAACATCTGTACATGAATACAGGCGTGGAGATGATGCTGCAGAATGCTTCAGCCCTAAAATAATGCATGTGCTCTTCCTAAAGGTCTCTGCAGTGCATAACTGTGTCGCTTGTGAGATACATCATCTGAATGCATGGAGGCAACCTGTGGTGAAACTTCAAAGTAACTCGTGTTGTTAGGTGCATTGGGGACACGCTGCACCCAATGAATGAGCTTCTCCTCTGACGGAGCTGCCGAGCACTGCCGGCCGACACGCCCCCAGCATGGATACAAGCAGCAGGAAGGACTGGCGCTCAGGAGACACTCGCTATGCTGGAGAGTGTGTGAAGCCGCGATGGGAGTTAACACATCCAACTTTGTACAGGTCCTGTCACCGCTGTTGTTGCACTAAACAAATACTCTGGGGTTATCTCTCTCTTGCTCCGAGTGGGCTTGTCTGCATTTTGTCCGAGGCGTTTCTCTCGCAGGATGTTGATGATATTGGAAAGCCGGGTAAGATCATAAAGTCAGTTCTCTCTGATGAGAACGACCTCCTCCTCCTCCTCCTCCTCTCCACCACCACCACACAAAGGGAACCACGGAACAAGTTGTTTTTCTCACGGAATCATTTTTTTATTTTTTGAATGTCATTAAGAATCAGAGGGGGCTGTTTCAAAGACACAATGGATCACTTTGCAGCAGAGTGCCTTGTTTCAATGTCCAGTCGTGCAATTGTTCACGCTCCAAAAGGGAATAGGGAGATTAAACCAGAAACCCCGTCCTCCTCCAGGAACGGAGAGGACATTAAAGAACCTTTGGTGAAAGACAACTCCTCTCTTTTTGTGGTGGCGCGGATTCTGGCGGATTTTAACCAGCAGACTCCCAACAATGTTGCCGAGCAGGCAAAAATAAAGGATGAGAGCATGCCGAACCTCATAGATGATGGAATCTCTGCCACACCTACCACCATCTCCGATCTTTCGCTCAAACAAAGAGGCAAAAGATCGCGAGGTCGAACTGAGCAAGAATCACCTCAGAAAAAGCACAAATGCCACTATTCAGGTTGTGAAAAAGTTTATGGCAAATCATCCCACCTCAAAGCCCACCTAAGGACACATACAGGTCAGTTTCATTGGATGTAAATGTTTGATGCTCTGAATATGACTGACTGTAGTTCCCATGCCTTTATGAGAATGGATTATTCAAACTGAGAATACTGATAAGAAGTGTGGTTTCTATTACAATGAAAGCTGTATTTGGGTTGATTGACTGCTAGGTTTCCTCGAGTCATATATGTACAAAAAAATTACGAGTCCACCCAAATGGGAATTTTTGACACACGCAGTAGGCTATTTAAAGTCAGGATTGGTGCATACTTAGTTACATATTTAGCATTGTTCCTTTAAGTTGTGTGAACTTTGCGAAATGTCCTTTTAATTTCGGGTGAGGGAGGGAGGGAGTCAAAAAATAGTGCCACTCCCACTCAAGCCTCGGAGCTTTGTCACTGCTTTCCTCTCTTTCCCCCTGCATTGGACAGCGGGTACAAAGCGAAACTGCAGTGCACTATGCAGAACAAACTCACACAGATCGGGTTTCCACTTCCCTTCTGCGCGCATTCAACTAAACGTTGGCGACAGGTAAAATAAAACCACGCAATGCGCACATCACAGAATAAGCATGCAAAAAGTTTCCAGATCAATCCAGAGAAGGGCTATCAAACGCGCTCCAGATCAGCAGTAGGCCTAGGCTACGCCTGACTCTCTTGATGGACCATACCTCCATATGTGCTTTGCATTCCTCAGGATAGGCTACTGAGAGGGGGGAAAGATGTAGATCGACTCAAATTGAGGGGGTTGATATGTGCCGTGCGGTCGCCTGTCTGCCCAAAGTCCCTTTGTTGTGATGTGCCACACCCCCGCTAGACAGACTGCCAGCTGATCTGGCCAGCAACAGACTCAGCTAGCTGAGCCTCGACTGAGGAGCCTCTCCTCCCCTCTGCTCTGTAGACTGCAGCTCTCACTCCCTCTCCCCATCGCTATCCTCCATGCTTCATACACACACACACACACACACACACACACACACACACACACACACACACACACACACACACACACACACACACACACACACACACACACACACACACACACGTCATCCTGACACTTCTCTCTGGATCCCATAAGAAAAGCCTGGTGTGAGCTTGACCCATATTTGAGTCATGGAACATTCTAATTTCAAATAAACCTATGCAAGAAAATACACATTGAGCAACCCGCCCCCCTTTTTCTGCACAATTCACCCCTCATCTGTCTCAATATTAAAATGTGTGACCCATGCTTACAGGGGTACATTCTTGTCTCATTGTCTATTCTTTCTCTCCGCCTGCCCTTGTATCAGGATACACTCCCCTGTCTGGCTTTCTGATTGGTTCGTGTGCTTTTATCAGTAGATGTATTATCCTTTTAGAATAATTTCGTATGGGTGCCACTGCCATGTGATTAAACTATACAACTGAAAGTACACACCATAGGCCTGTTATATGGTAAATTCCATTGAATACGTTGGATATTCCTACTGGTTTTGTTGTATTCAAGTCCAGTTGGATTAATTATTATTAAGAATTACACAACTGTTTGTTCATCTTGGTGCAGTGGTGTCTATCAGTATTTGGGAAAATCAGGGATAAGACACTGATTTGACTTATGTATGTATAAAGTAGGTCCATAATGCTCCAGGATCAACCTTATTGGCTTCCTTGAGGAAATAAAATGCCTTTGTCTCCGTGTGCAGTTACAGCCTATCAGCCGTTCTATTACCTCTTTTTATTTTGAGCATTTTCTTTCTTTTGGGATACAGTCCTGTGTTTGGTTCTGATTGGTTTGTATACACTAACATTTCTGATAATGAGCACGATTTCTGCTTATTTGATTGGATGTTCACAGAACGTGAGTCATCTCACTTCAGCTGCCTGGTCTCAGCCAAACTTGCAGCAGTGCTCCCTGTGCTCGCCCCCCCCCAGCCCTGACCATGTGTTTTTTGTGCAGTTTTTTTTTGCTCCCCATAAGCCCTCCCCTTGTCTCTTTGCCTATTAAGCGTTTCCTTTCGCCCGCCTCTCTGTTTGGATATGCTCCCGCGTCAGGCTTCTTGATTGGTCTGTGTCACATTAATTCTGGTAATAATGGCTCTTTCTGCTTATTCGATTGGATAGTCCCAGAATGTGGGTCATCTAAGTTCAACCAGGCTGCCTCAGCCAACCTTGCAGTGCTTTCATAGAGCCAGACTCTCGCAGTGTGCTTCCCTTCAGCCCCTACTAGCAGAGTCAGGAGAGAATAGATTCCAGCCCAGTCAGTCCCAGCCAAACACCACTATCTATGTGAAGGGGGAAACACTGCTGCAGATTCTAAACAAAGAAACAGGTGTAAGCCAGCCTCACTTGACCTCTGTAATCTCAGCGTTTGCAATAAGTGTGTGTGATTAATTATTTGAGTGTAAGAGGAACTGAAATCTGAGCTACATTGTATTTCGTAGGAAAATCAATTCTGTTAGTAGCCTAAATGAACTTCACCTACTAGTAATGTCTTCGATCTTAAAGGTCCCCTTTAAGCCATGCAAGAATGTTGCTTTATTTTACGTTATGATGTTTGTCATGATGTTTGAAGGCCATAGCTTTTAAAAAACTGTGTTTTGTTAAATTCAGATTCAGTACTAGTGGATTGCATATACATTTTAGCAAACTACTCAAAAATGTTCAAGTGCAAGTTCTCCTAAACTAAAAACTACCTTAGCCAAGAAGATAGTTTCTTCTTCATTTGGGTCTCCTGATGATATATTTCCTGTTAGTTAAGTTAATTGCAGTTCTTAATGTAATAAAGCAATGTACATTTGAAAAACAAATTCAAAAGCAATGGGTTTTTAAGGAAAACAGTGTACTTCATTACTACATTTTTCGTTATATAAAAGGCCTGTTGATTATCCTAAGTAACTGGGAACTATCTATTTAAAGATAATACAATGTCATTGACTTACGGTGCACAAGTAAAGATGATTTCCTTTAAGATTTGTTCTCAAACCCAGTTGTCTTTCAGTTTAGGAGGGTCACCAGGATGCAGCAGACATTAGGGAATACGCTGCATTTAAAGCACTCATTATGCTGTATCGAGTTTGATGGCGAGGAATCCTACACAGTTAAGGGGTCTAAGGTTACCAGACAGCTTTTGTCTGATCACCTTTTGTGTGAGGTGGGGCTTTTCTCCAACACATATACTTGTCCTGCAGTATGGAAAATGCAGTCATGTATAACATAACTACTCAGTAAATGAAACAATAAAGGTTGCATAAATTAAAATGCTTTCTTAGGACTTTCCTCAGCACCAGCTGGTTTCTTTTTATACATGTTTTGTCACCTCATTGTCTTAAGAAGCATAACTGACCCTAACGATGAAGACCCACTTTTCCAAGAGGGGTCTTGTGATGATGAATAAGTACATGTTGTTCTCTGTGAAGCCTCATTACTCTGCTGTGGTTGTGTAATGCAGACTGCTTTCTCTAAAGAAGAGATGGCCTCTGATAAGCTCATTACAAGCCATGTCTTCTTCAGAAAGAACAGCCCAGGCCCTATATTTCCCCCCACAGCTGGGCCTCACAAAAGGCCATCTTGTCAGTGTCCGGGACCTATTTGAATTAACGGGACGATCGGGGTCAATACTTCACAAAGACAAAGACCATAATGACATATTTTACAGTTGGTTTGACGTTTTTTCTGGACCTCTTTTGTGTTCTGCTGGGGTCGCTCATATACTGCGAGATGGCCGTAAATCCCTCTTCCGTCTGTCCTAAAAAACATGTGGTACCACCTGGCAGAACATTTCCACTGCCATGTAGACTGCAGTTATTCATGCATGCTTTCTATTTTAAGCCAAATAACTGTGGTCAATGACACTTTTTTAAATGTGAAATTATCCGAAATTCCACATGGAAAAAATAAGCAGGAGTTTATGATTATATACACTGAATCTTTGCCAGTGGTTTTATATTTGGCTGCACTGCTGCACAGAGTGCATAGTGTTCCTGTGTGGCTGGTGGCAGTGATGAGGTAGCAGGGTGGAGATTGGGGTTTTCCTGCTTTTGCTTGAGCCTGACCTTGGCACAGCGATGGGTAACAACTCTACTGGGGCACAAGAGGTCAGTGTGTCTACCTGCCACACCGCAGGATTTCCACCATCCCACCCAGTTGTAAAGCTGACTCCTTGTTTGGGAGATGCTCACAGTTTCCACCAGTCCCCATGATTCGGGTAACATTACAATGTTGTGTTTAAACCATGGTTTAAACCCATGCTGTAGGCCGGACTGAAATATCTCAACTTTAGATATTGAAATGTGTACATTCATAATACACAAAGGATTAATATCTCTGACTTAAGTGATCCCCTGACAATATTATACAGACATTCATGTTCCTATATTATAAGTGTTTATGACTTTGGTTTCCCCTGTTTTTTCTATTTTCTATTTCACTATGAAGTTGACATTGGTGGTTTTGACTGAAATGTCCCAACAACTAATTGATGGCCATGGAAATACATTACAGAACTTTAATACATTCCCCTCTGGATCAATGTAATTACTTTGGTGATCCCCTTATTTATCATCTAGTGCTATTAATGAGTCAAAACTTGAATTTGTCCAGTGCTTTGGTTTAAGACCTGCACTGCAAAACTGATACATTTCTCATCAACCTGACCTGTATTTTGTGCTTTGTTTGGTAATTAGCAGCTTATACTAAGCTATTTAGTAAGTGTCTTAAGTGGACAGCACCAAAATGTAACACCATATTTTAACATTGTCATTGGAAGCATATTAGCATGCAGACGTTATAATTTACATGGAAGCACAATTATACATACCCTTATAAAAAGGACAGCTATAGACTTGTTATAAATTGACTGATGCACTTCTTCTGCTTGATGGTGAGATTTTTAAATTGTGAGTGAAATCTGGTTGGCTGGTGAAGGCTATTTGCAGCAGTACAGCATGTATTTGATCCACGGGATGTAAATAAAACCTAAGTGGAGCCACCATCTTGCCTGTTATAATCCTCTGGTGCCGGTTCCTGCTCCATG